CCGCCGCCGGCCCCGCTCCGCCGCGCGTGCAGCCCGGCGCCCGGCGCGCTTCAGGCCGCCCTGATGAGCCCGCCGCCCGCCGCCACCCTGGAGACCGCGTCCTCCTCGTCGTCGTCATCCTCTGCCTCCTGTGCCTCGTCCTCCTCCAACTCCATCAGCGCTTCGGCGGGCGCCTGCAAGAGCGCGGCAGGCAGCGGCGGGACGGGAGCCGGTAGCGGGAGCACCAAGAAGGCGACCTCGGGGCTGCGGCGGCCCGAGAAGCCGCCCTACTCGTACATCGCGCTCATCGTCATGGCCATCCAGAGCTCGCCCAGCAAGCGCCTGACGCTCAGCGAGATCTATCAGTTCCTGCAGGCGCGCTTCCCCTTCTTCCGAGGCGCCTACCAGGGCTGGAAGAACTCCGTGCGCCACAACCTCTCGCTCAACGAGTGCTTCATCAAGCTCCCCAAGGGCCTCGGGCGGCCGGGCAAAGGCCACTACTGGACCATCGACCCGGCCAGCGAGTTCATGTTCGAGGAGGGCTCGTTCCGCCGGCGGCCGCGCGGCTTCAGGCGGAAGTGCCAGGCGCTCAAGCCCATGTATCATCGCGTGGTGAGCGGCTTGGGCTTTGGGGCCTCGCTGCTGCCCCAGGGCTTCGACTTCCAAGCTCCCCCGTCGGCGCCTCTGGGCTGCCATGGCCAAGGCGGCTACGGTGGTCTCGACATGATGCCCGCAGGCTACGATGCGGGCGCGGGTGCCCCGGGCCACGCGCATCCACACCACCTCCACCACCACCACGTCCCGCACATGTCGCCCAACCCGGGCTCCACCTACATGGCCAGCTGCCCGGTGCCCGCAGGTCCCGGGGGCGTCGGTGCGGCAGCGGGAGGCGGCGGTGGTGGCGGGGACTACGGGCCGGACAGCAGCAGCAGCCCAGTGCCCTCCTCCCCGGCCATGGCGAGCGCCATCGAGTGTCACTCGCCCTACACCAGCCCTGCAGCACATTGGAGCTCTCCGGGAGCTTCCCCTTACCTCAAGCAGCCGCCCGCCCTGACGCCTAGCAGCAACCCCGCGGCCTCTGCAGGCCTGCACTCCAGCATGTCCTCCTATTCGCTGGAGCAGAGCTACTTGCACCAGAACGCTCGAGAGGATCTCTCAGGTAATATGGCGCGACCAGGCCCACTGGGGTGGCATTGCCCCCCAGACCCCAGGGCCGAGGGACCTGCACCCTCACCCCCAAGGCCGAGATGGAACTGGGAGGCAGGTGCTGGAGAGACCTGGCACCTTATTCTTGGGTGAGAGGAAAGGTTCTGAGCTCATTATCCCTCAGCTGGTACTCCTAGCCAGTAGCGGGCTCCAGAATTGCCTGGCTCCTGGGAGGAATGGGGCAAAGTTGCAGCCTTCCTGGCTCTGTAGGGCACTGTGGACTTCTCTCTCTCAATTTCAGACCAGACTCTGAAAAAAAAAAGGCCTGTGACCTTTGGAGACCTTGGTCAGAGAATTGGGTCTGGTTTCTTTTGTTCCTCCTCCCCTCTTTAAAGTTTATTTTGCTGTAATTTTGTTCTAAAACTAAGTGTCAGAAAGGGAGAGGTTTTGTACCCTGGATGTGAGTGAAGAAGGGTTGAGAGGAGGGCTCAGGGTTGAGAGGAAGGGGCAGGGAGGGACAGAGAGAAAAGCAGAGTAAGGGCTTGGAGATGTTGCCAGGGACAAGGGGCACCAATATGAAGAATCCTCCAAACCCCCCCACACAATACACACACACACACACACACACACACACACACACACACACACAGCAGATCTGGTTAATGACACGTTTGGACAGCAGGACTTGGGTGTCCCGAGGAAAGTGCCTGGAGGCTACTTGTAGTGTGGCTGGTTTACGTTGTGTGGTTGCAGATTATGAAAATTTATTGACTTGTGAAAAGTGGTGAAAGGTGGGAGGAGAGGACAGGCTGAAGGAGAGAAATTTGTGTTTGGCTAGCTTTATCTTGAGGATGGAGATAAACCCTTCTTAACTCCCCAGAGGCTCCCACGGGGTGCAGATTGAAATCCAGGAGCCTGTCTGTCAAGGGCAAAGCCCAAAGGTGTTCTCTCCCACATACTTTCTTCCCACCCCAATCAGAGAATTTCACAACATGATGCATACTTTCATAAGCTTGTTGCCCCATGTTCAACAGGAACACAAGAGAACAGGGAAGCCAAGAAATGGGCAAAAGATGTTGGAGAAATTTCCCAAATAGGCCTTTTAACTGGGGGTCTCAGAGGTTAACCAAACAAAGACAGTCTCGGCAGGACCACACGGGAGAGGATTTTAGGCTGACTTAACCCACAGAGAACAGAGTCTTGTTCAATTTTATGGGAATTTCAACAAGTAACCAATACAGATGACCCTCTCTCTTATTCCCCATGCCTACCCCCCACCTCCCACTGGTTGCGCTGGTTGTCAATCTCCCTCTGACACACTAGGCTGGAGCCTATGCCCCCTTCCCAACCTTGCCTAGGCCTATTCCTCTGGGCACTGTTGGCTATCCTTTCCTTTGGGCAGACCCGACTCAACTTGAACCCAGACTCCCAGGCTTCCCAGCTGTCAGGAAACTATACTCTAGGAAGAAATAAACAAGCAAACACGCAGGAAAGAGACTTCTGACCCTTCTGTGAAGTCTTTGTCCCAGGCCACATACTAGGCCCTGCACAAGCCCCCAGAACTTCCCGGATCTGGAAGCTTAACCTTTTGCCTTCCAAAGTTTGAGAACTGTCCAGCCAAATAGGCAGGTCTTGGGTGGGTCTCCACCTATTCCCGAGCCCCGTGGCAGGCCTTCCCCACAGATGGCTTTGGGCCCACCTGGCCCTGCTGCTCTTTCTTCCCTTGGACTTGGCTTCAC